AAGAATTATCATAACTAGAAAATCTCTCTTGCACATAGGGCATAAGTTATATATCATATAATGCTACCTTTAAGACCTCATTTTTGACTGTTATACACACATCCAACAGCTTTGTCGACCATTCTGTAAAGACCAACTAGAAACATCACTTTGGGAGCTTTGTATCTATTCACTACTGATTCCAACACCCCAATCGTGTACAGTTTAACCTCATTCCTATCCTTTCCATACTTGGACACATTTCAGTGCTCAATGTTGCTTTTTACTTTCTTTTCTCAGGGGGTAACTGGAATTATAAATGTAATGGAAGTTTGCTCCTCTTTTTCATCTCTCTTTATAAGTTCTTAGTGATTTCACATGTCCCTCTGCAATGTCTCTTGTAACTAAAAATTCCAAATCCAATACAAATATCTATCAAACAACATCCTTTGGTAATAGTTACATCTTTAATATGCTAGATTTTGTGCAGTTTTGTTGCACATGCATTAATCTTTACTCAGAGGAAGCAGTGCATAAGGTTAATGTGGAGGAGTCTGATAGGGGGATCAACAAAGTAGGACAAACAAATTGGGATCTGCCCCTATTGTAGCATCCTTTTTAGAATTGGAGTTCCTGTAGTTCAGAACCTAGTTCTCTATGAAGTTGCAGGATTACTTTTAAAGTAACTCATTCAGGTGCTGATTCTTTTAGATTGAACTTTTAAAATTACCGGAGTCCCTTTAACTTCATTTATATTTGTTTCAATCTCACTAATTACATTTTTCTCTTGCTCCCCCCCCCCTCCAGTAATAAAATAGTAAAGCTATAATTATGGAATCCTCAGATAACATTGATTGGCCCAGTAGCTATTAAAAAAATAATTAGTATGTCATACTATTGCTTTTTCCTTTCAAACAAAACAGTAATGTTTTAATGATTTGGGCCTAGTTGTACCATTCCTCATGTTGTTATGAGTCCACATGAGGGAATTAAAATTGTGAAGAAAGATAATTGTTAAGTTTGATATAAACCCAAGCCCTAAAATCATGTCAGAAAGTGGGTCACCTTCCTACTGAACCAGTGAGAGTAATTTAATATCATCTAAAATATGGTTGAACAGAAAAAGATTTCTCTTGATTAGTATTTAACTGCTCTTTTCCATAAGGTAACCTACAACACATTGTTTGGGTCCAATTATCAAGG